AAGTTTATGTTTGTGCAGTTTCTTCGTCGACAGAGAGATTTGGAGGCTTCGACATGGGTAGCAACACCAACACAGGGGGCTGCCCCCACCGGGGGGGGGAATGATCCTACACCTTGGCGCTGGTGAAAAATCTGGCGGCCACCTAGGGAGAGGAGGAGGAGGAGGAGGAGGAGGAGGAGGAGGAGGAGGAGGAGGAGGAGGAGGAGGAGGCGGAGGAGGAGCCTGGACAATACCGCCATCACCGAGATCGGGATCATCCCCCCTCGGAGGAGGCACACCGCAGACCCAGACATGCGACGTCCCGATTTTTTCAGTACGGCGCCCCTGGAAGTCCCGACCCTTTCCCTGGGATCGGTTTTCCATTCCGAGTCGTTCCCTGACGGTCCCGAGACCTGGCGAGAGCTCCCAGGGGACGAAAACGGCCAAAAACCTCCCGTCCTGATTTTTCTTACGACGCAATCTCATGTCTGGGGGTCTTGGGGTTGATGCCAACCTCCATGCCTCCGAAGAGAGGGGCGGGCTCCTCCAGAGACATGGCCACCGGCCCGGCGGCCCTCGCCAGCAGCGGCACCAGGTGCCCGCCTACATCTGGCGGGGCCGTGCAACGGCCGCGGGGGGCGGCTTGAGCTTCGGGCGGCGGCCGGCCGCTCCCATCCCTCCTCCCTCCCTCCATCCCTGGTCCTTCCCTCCCTTTCATCTCGCCGTCTCCTTCTCCTCCTGCTCCTCCTCCTCCTCCTCCTCCTCCGCTTCCTCCTCCGCTTCCTGCTCTGCTTCCTAATGGGGAGCTCCACCGAAGGCCCCAATGCGAGGGTCTCCATGCGCCCCCCACCCATATCGGCACACCACTAACGCGTCTCGTGGCCCCATAGGGAGCTCCACCGAAGGCCCGAGTAGGAGGGCCCATGTGCGCCCACCCACCCGCCAGTGGAAGGTTCCACGTGCGCCCCCCCGCCCATGTCAGCACACCCCTTACACGCTTCGTGGCCCCATGGGGAGCTCCACCGAAAGCCCCAGTGCGAGGGTCCCCATGCGCCAGAACGCCCATGTCGGCACACCGCTAACGCGTCTCGTGGCCCCATAGGAAGCTTCACCAGAGGCCCGAGTGGGAGGATCCACATGCGGCACCCCGCCCATTTCGGCGCACCCCTGACACGCTTCGTGACCCCGTGGGGTGCTCCATCGAAGGCCCCAGCCCATTCGAAGGCCCCAGCGGGAGGGTCCACATGGGCCCCCCCCCCGCCCATTTCGGCGCACCCCTCGCACGCTTCGTGGCCCCGTAAGGAGCTCCACCGAAGGCCTCAATGGCATAGCTGACAAACGCCCCTCGCCCATGTCGGCTCACCCCTCGCATGTTCCGTGGCCCCATAGGGTGCTCCACCGAAGGCCCCCGTGGCAGTGCTACCATGCGTAACCCCACCCGTTTCGGCACACCCGTCGCACGTTCCGTGGCCCCATTGGGAGCTCCACCGAAGACAGTGCTCACAATTGCGTCACTCACAACAACATGTCGTTGGGTCCTTCGCCAAGGTAGCTTTTGCTTGCAATCCACGACCCCGAGGTCCTGACCGCATCCCCAGAAATAGTCATGGATTCATGTTGTGTCGTACCGCGGCCGAAAACTGCCACCGATAACCGAAATCGAGGAACAAGAACAATTGTCAAAATCATATCGTCGTAGATCTGGTGCCACACAGGAAGTTATTCATAACCACCGTCTTGGGAGATCGATCTTCGGGGACCTCGACAAGCAATGGATTGGATACGTAGCACCCCGCAGTTGCGGATAAGAGTGAGGGGGCGGCGGGGACATCGGCAGTAATCATGCGAGGCTCTGAAAAAGCCTGCCGCAAGCGCCAATTTTTCACAAATTATGCAACGGGACCGCCGCAGGTGCCATTTTTTCCGTCAAAGCAATGCTGGTGGGTTGTGGGGTAAATCGCAGGAGGGTCGCGGGTGGGTCGCGGGTGGGTCGCGGGTGGGTCGCGGGCCGGGTCGCGGGCAGGCTCGCGGGTGGGTCGCGGGTGGGTCGCGAGCCGGATCGCGGGCAAGGTCGCGGGTGGGTCGCGGGTGGGTCGCGGGTGGGTCGCGGGTGGGTTGCGGGCGGGTCGCAGGGTGGGTCGCAGGTGGGTCGCGGGTGGGTCGCGGGGTGGGTCACGGGTGGGTCGCGGGCTGGGTCGCGGGTGGGTCGCGGGTGGGTCGCGGGTATGTCGCGAGCCGGGTCGCGGGGGGGACGACGACAACAACCAACAACCAACAACCAACAACACACAACACACAACAAGCAACAAACAATCAACAACGAGCAACAACCAACAACCACAAACAACAACAACAACCACAAACAACAACAACAACAACAACAACAACAACAACAACAACAACAACAACAATAACAACAACAACAACAACAACAACAACAACAACAACAACAACAACAACAACAACAACATCAACATCAACATCAACAACAACAACACCAACAACAACAACAGCAGCAACAACAACAATAACAACAACAACAGCAGCAACAACAACAACAACCACAACAACAGCAACAGCAACAACAACAACAACAACTATAACCAACAACAACAACACCTACCAACAACCAACAACACTGACCAACAAATATACTAGCAACAACAACCAACAACCAACAACCAACAACCAACAACCAACAACCAACAACCAACAACAGCAACAACAACAACAATCCGCGCCGCCGAACCTCACTTCAGCCACGTGCCAAAGGGCAGTGAATGACCGCTCGGCCCCCTCACTCTGAGATACTGCTTGGCCTCCCAAGGGCTCGACCATAGATCCATACCCCTACGACCACCCTTCCCAGCCTTTGGGTGACAGGGAGGCTGTGTGGGTGGGGAGAGCTCGGCTTTCGGAGAGCGACTGGGGTCGGATCGGATTCGGCGGAGACCGGGCACCTCGGAGCACCACCGACGGTGTCCCGATGGCGCCTGTGGTCGCCATCGGGGACCATCGGGGCAACCAGCAGAAACAGGTGGGATCTGTGTACCCGCGCCCTCCTTCTTCTAGAGCGTACTGCGAACATACAGGGCCACAGGCTTGTCCAGCTATCTATCGGTCGAGGCATCCAACGGGGAATCATCGGGGCAGCGAGCGGAACTAGGCGGCATTCATTTGCCCGCTCCCTATTTTCTGTACAACGCAATACAAACGTACATAGCACTGTGCTTGTCCATCTATCTATCTATTCGAGGGCAACGCTCACAAAACATCGGGGCAACCAGCGAAGCCAAGTGGCATCTATTTGCCTGCGCGCTCTTTCCTTCAGAAGAGCACACGCAGAACATACAGACCATGAGGTACCGCAGGACACCACGGGACATCACGATCGATCTCACTTTCAATATCGCCCTATATCGACCTTGCTTTCGCTTCCACTACCGATCTCATGATCGATCGTCCTCTATCTGCTGATATCACGATCTATCTATCTCACCATCGATCTCACTATGGATCTCACGAGACCTATCTATCGATATCTCACTGTCGATCCCACTCTCTATCTACGCATCGGCCTCTCTATCGATATCACTATCGGTCTCGCACTCGACTCCACGATCGACGGTACTATCGATCTCGCACTCGCACTCACTCCGGGACACTAAAGCATCGGGGCAACCAGCGGAGCCAGGTGGCGTTGATTTGCCCGCGCGCTCTTTCTTTTAGACATACGACTCCGCGGGACACCACGAGCCACCACGAGACACCACTATCAATCTCAATAGTTATCGATATCACCCCCCAGCCTCCGATCTATGGACCTCATTATCGGACTCACGGTCGACACCACGACCTACCTGTCAGTCTCTCTACCTCTCAATCGATCTCACAATCGAAACGCCACCCTGTGGCGGGTAAGATGGTCGCAAGCCTTGCCTGCTGTGCGATGGTGGTGATGACGTTAGGGGTGGTGGTGATGATGATCGTGTTGATGCTGGTTGTGATGCTGCTGGCGATGGTGGTTGTGCTGATCATGAGCCTGATGGCGGGCTCTACTAAACCGCAGTGAGCCATCGATATGGTCAGCGCGTCTTGCTCTGAAACAGAACTTGCCGACCGTCTAGGAGCGGCAGCGCTGCCAAGCCGCTCACAGAGAACCGTGGGAGACGCGTGCGAGAGCCATGCTCACAGAGTGTTGGCGCTGAGGCCAGGAGTGCGCTGGCAGAGCCTGGCGTTGCCACTCGCCTGTTCTAGCTACTTCTCAACGTATCGATCTCCCTATCGATCTCCCTCTATCTATCTATCGACCTCAGAATCATCGATCTCGCAGTCAACCTCACTTTCGATCTCAGTATCGATTCGTCTATGGGTCCTTTCAGTTTCGCCATAGACACGGCGGGTTCATTCCTCTCGCCCGCCCGCACAGCTTTGCCTCGCCCGCATGCACGACACGAACACGATACCGAAACCGATTCTCTGTTGGGACCGTGTCCGTTTCACTTCGAACTCACCCCCGAACGAGAGATGTCTGACCACTAGCTGGGCTTGAGGAGGAGGAGGAGCAGGAGCAGGAGAAGGAGGAGGAGGGGGTGGAGGAGGAGAAGGAAGAGGAGGAGGAGCAGGAGCAGGAGCAGGAGCAGGAGGAGGAGGAGGAGGAGGAGGAGGAAGAGGAGCAGGAGGAGGAGGAGGAGGAAGAGGAGGAGGAGCAGGGGGAGGAGGAGAAGGAGCAGGGGAGGAGGAGGAGGAGGAGGAGGAGGAGGAGGGAGGAGGAGGAGGAGGAGGAGGAGGAGGGAGGAGAGGAGGAGGAGGAGGAGGAGGAGGAGGAGGAAGAGGAGAGGAGGAGGAGGAGGAGGAGGAGGAGTGGGGGGAAGAGGAGGGGAGGAGGAGGACAAGGAGGACGAAGAGGAGCAGGTGGTGGTCGTCGCCGCAGACGGCGCGTGGCGTGCGTCGCGCGTCGCGCGGCGCGCGGTCGATGAGCGGCGCGCGCGCGCGCGCGTCGCGTGCTCGTCGGGGCGCGCCTCGGCGGCCTGGTCGCGGGTTCCCTGGGCGCGGCCTTTGGCGCGGCCGGGGGCCTGCCGCCCCGGCCACGCCGCGACCGCCTTGGGCGGGGGAGTACTTCTGCTCACCGTCGTCGCCGTCGACGTCGTCGTCGTCGCCGTCGTCGTCGTCACCGTCCTAGTTCTCCTCGTCCTCCTCTTGTTCCTCCTCCTCCTCTTTCTCGTTCTTCTCCTGTTCCTCCTCCTCCTCCTCCTCCTCCTCCTCCTCCTCTCCTCTCCTCCTCTCCTCCTCCTCCTCCCTCCTCCTCCTCCTCTGCTCCTCCTCCTTCTCCTCCTCCTCACTTTAAAGCAGAATCGCCACAAGCTGGAAAAACTTCGATCCTGACTCATATGATCGCCCAGACGGTACCGATATCATGCGAGATGTTCTCAATCATTGTGTCCAAGCGTCCGACTTCCTTTTCTGAGGTGATCATCGCCCTGCCGTCTTCTGGAGTAAGGCGTTGCGCGAGCCAATCCGCTTGCTTGTTTGTGTTACGTGGAGCTTCCGGCTCCGATTCCGACGTCTACACGCTCGCCTACGCTCCAGATGCGTCGCATGTGCGTCTGCCTCTCTGTCCCTGCCGATGTTTGACCAGCGCATGCTCGTCCACCATTCCCCAAGCAGTGCTTGCACTTGGGGGCCCTTGAATTCCTATCGCCGAATGATTCCAGGTCGGGCACGTCCCCCTGCAGGCCGAGTTTGGACGACAGATACTCCCAAAGGGTCAACAAAAAATCATCGAGAGAAATGGTCCGCTGACTATTCTGCAACTGTTTCTGAGCAGTCCTCCTGCAGAGGGACACGCCCGACTTGAGAGCAATACAGTCGGGGCGTTGACCTAAGGAACCCTAAACAAGGTGCGAGGCCCCTATCTTCCAGAAGCTAAACTTCGACTTCCCGAGGAAAATCTGAGGCAAGCTGCGAAACACTTACGGAACACGGAGCCCCTCCCCAACGAAAAGGGTTCCTTCTTCAGGGCCCCGACTGTATGGGCGGGGCGTGCCGAGGCTGCGCCCCGTGGGCGGCCGCGGGCGCCTCGTGGGCCTCCCGCGCGCGGGCCGGGCCTGCCGAGAGGCTCCCGCGCGGCGGGCGGCCGCGGGCTCCCCGTGGGCGCGGCGGGCGGCCGGGAGCCCCTCGGTGGGCGCGCCGCGGGGGCCCCGCCGGGGTCTGCCGAGGCCTCGCCCGGCGGGCGGCCGCCGGGCAGCGCGCGGGCGCCTCGCGCCGCCCGCACCACGCGGCCTGCGTCGCGACGCCTGCGCCGCGCGGCCTGCACCGCACAGCCGGCACCGCGCGCCTCGCACCGCGCGGCTTTCACCGCGTGTCTCGCCTCGCGCAGCTTCCACCCCACAGCCTGCGCCACAGTTTGCACCGCATCGCTCATACCACGGAGCTGGCTTCACACAGAAAGATTGCACACATGTCTTTGAGCGCGCATGGCTTGCACCACAGAGTGTGCACCACGTAGCTTACACGCCCAGGGTGCAAGAAATCACCGTTTGGGGCCCACGCTGACAAACATGTCTTGTGCTGAGTCATGCAGCCTGCTCGCAGTATTTGAACTTCTTTGCGGCGAAGAAACAAAGCAAGGACCATACACCTTGACGGCCAAAACCGGCCTCAGAAAACAAGAATCCTTTGAATGAGGTTGATCTCCGCCGGAACTTCCAGACGGCGGCACCTAACATGTCGTTGTTGAGCAATGCCTCAAGTCAGAATCCCCCGAGCCTGCGGGCAGAAAAACACCTGACTCGGACACGAGAGGGGAGAGAGAGAGTGCCTCCAGCGCCCGAGGACAAAACGCGTGTCTGCGAAAGGACGCCAGGGCAGAAGAAGAAGAAGAAGAGACAGAAAGAGACATATCCTCGATATCCTCACGTGCGCTTTTCCTCCGATGAGCGCCTCTGCTGGGCAGGTCCGGTCGACGAGAGAAAAAAAAAAGAGAGGGAGAGAGAGATGGCCGCCAGCCTGTTGTAGCCCGAGCGCACGCCCACGGCTCGCGTCGAGCAGGGCGGCGGGCGATCCCCGCGCAGAAACCCCGAGGCCTGCCGCTCCGGGGAGCCACCGGGAGGAGGCACGCACGCACGAGCACGGACCCAGACTCGGGCTGGCCTCTGCCCCGACACTCGATACTCCAGATTTCGTAATAAAAGGGGGGGGGTCTGGACCCTCCAAGACAAGCCATTTCAGACCCCCCCCCCGTGGGAGAACCCTCCAAAACATCGTCCCCAGACCCCCCAGGCCCTCCAAGATAGCCTGGAAGAGACCCCCCCCCGAAATGAGACCCCCCTCCCTTTATTACGAAATCTGGAGTATCCAGACTCGGGTTGGCCTCTGCCCTGGCACTCGACACTCTTGGTAATCAGCCCTGGGGTCTTACTCACTCGCAGGCAGCTTGGAGCATCTAGGCAACCCTGGGCTTCTGGGGACCCGCGGGGACGGCGATGACGATGTCCGTCGGCGATGCCCACGACGATGGCGCACGGATGAAGTAATGATACGGCAGTAATCGCAGTTGAAGCAAGCCGCCAACGTCAATTGCCCTGAAGAAGAGATATACTCACAACCAGATCGTGCCCAGCCGTGGAGCACTTTGCATGCTACTCTGATGGTCGGTCAAGTGGTTTCTAGAATTCAGCGGCGCAAGGCCATTGGTAGCAGGACACGGGAGAGCGGGAACGGAACGACTACAGCTGCAAGTTGCGAGCGCTCTCTGCCCACCGATCTGCACCACCACCACCACCAACACCACCACCAACACCACCATCACCACCTCCCCGAGAAGTGCTAAACTACGACCTGGCCGACTGGCAGGCTGCCAAAGTCTCCGCCTCTGCTTGGACGCCGCGCCGGTGCCGAAGCGTCTGGCAGTGGCGCCCACGATACCTGGCAGGCGGCGGCTGGGGAGAAAGCCGGGGACGGCGTGGGAGGGAAGAAGGGGAAAGATGAGGAGGAGAGAAAAAGGGAACGGATGTAGGGAGGATTGGGGAGGAGGCAGGGATGAAAGGACGAGTTAGTTTGCCCCCCATTCGGACTTTTCGCCGTGATCTAGTCGCCATGTGTACGGCACCTGCACAAGTGAGGGTCACTTGGAACATGATCTAACCCAAGAGAAGGCCGACCTGCCGTGGTGACTTCGACCATACAGTATACACATACGATGTTACATCTTGCAGTGTGAACTCTATTGGTACTGTTTCGTCAACGTTTGAACTTCCAACGGCGCCCTGAGACTTCGTTGGGGCACTCGCTCGTAGGCCGATTTCTTGTTTTACCTACTGTGTACCAGCTTGTATGAACCTATGTCGTCTATCGCCACCGTTGGCACTCTTCTTCCTGCCCATTATCATGCACTGGCGACGCCGCCTGCTTCTCCACCTTATCATCGGAACACCGACGCGTTGATACGCGTGACCGCAGGTTATATGGATGGTCATTGATTCCGAGACATGATATATCAGATCACTTGCACAATGGATGGACGAGACTGCTGCGAGGTAAGCAAGCGGAGGCTGCCACGAGTGCGAGGTGGGAGGGATGAAGGGGTAATTGGAGTAAACGAAGGATAAACCAGGCGAAAGAAGAGAGACGAGCGGGAGGACGAGAAGCGAGGAAGGATGACGCTGCGGATCAGGAGGCCAGAGCACGACAAGGCAGGCGAGGGCGGCAGAGAGGATCCAGGATAAACATCTATGACGCGGCGGAGGACCTGCAGCAGGCAGAGAAAGGGCAAACGTGGGGTTGGCCTGGCTCGGGCAGAGGGGACCCTGAGACCCGACGCAGGACAACAAACATGGCAACATCGTCAAAAACCACACCCAAAAAGCCCTAGACCCCATCCTGCTGCGTAATTCTTCGAGCCCAATCGATCTGTGAGGGTCCCGGGGCCCGAAAAACGACGAAAACGCCCAGCTCGAAAGAATGGAGACGCCAAGATCTCAGGGTTCGTCCTTGGAGGACGGGGAGGAGGAGGAGAAGGAGGAGGAGGAGGAGGAGGAGGACCAGTGAAAACCCAAGAGTCATCGACGATGTTGGAATAAACCCTCCCTCCAAGCTCCCTCTTCAAAGGCCCCTACAACGGTTCATTTCCACAGGGAAGTGCCTCGTTGGAAGACAATCGTTTGAAGACCCTGAAGCATGCCAAAACATTGTTGTCGGGATTCCAACGTCACGAATCAACCTGACTGTTGCGTCCTGACGATCTTGAACCGTGCCAGAGCACCATTCCTAGGATTTCAACACCACGAATCAACGTATCTGTTGCACCCTCTTCCAAAACACAATTCTGAACGCTGATCATGGGAGTCCGTAAAACTCTGACAATTTGTACAAAAGAATGTGCGCTGCGCTAAGGCGAGAGCCACATTTTGAAAAAGAACCGCCCTCAATATGTAAAACTCTCTTGCAAGTGATCCCCATACAGAAAAAGCGTGCGCAGCGCTAAAGCGAGAGCCACATTTCGAAACGGAGCCGCCCTCAATCTGTGAACTCTTGCAAGGTTTTGACACGAATGTGCGCGGCGTTGAGGCGGCAACCGCATTTTGAAAAGAAACCGCTCTCACCCCGTGAAACTCTTTCAGTTGTTTAAGCTGATGTGCGCGGCGCTGCAGCGATAACCACATTTTGAAAAGGAACCACCCTCAATCCTTGAAGCCCTTACAAATGTTTAAAACAACTGTGCGCGGCGCTAAGGCGAGAGCCACATTTTCAAAAACGACCCGCCCTCCATCTGTGAAGCTGCTGCCAATGTTAAAAATTCAGGGTCATACATGGTGAGGCAGTCTCAGGCGAAACGTCCGGACCGCTCTAAAAACTGGCCTCGGGGTGCGATCGGGAAAAAACAATGATAAGGAAAAGGAATGGAGCAGGAGGAGGAAGAGGAGGAGGGGGAGGAGGAGGAGAAGGAGGAGAAGGGGGAGGAGGAGGAGGAGGAGGAGGAGGAGGAGGAGGAGGAGCAGGAGGAGGAGGAGGAGGAGGAGGAGGACGCTCCTCCGGGGCCCGAGAGACGAAAACGCGTCGCAATTCCCCGCAGACGCCGACTCCGGCAAGGCCCCTCCGGGGCTCCAGGCTCTGGCCGAAGGCGGCGCGACGTCCTCCGCAGACGCGGGCTCCAAGAACCCGAAGACGGAGTTCGGCCAAAATTTCCGCTACACCCTCCAGGGGCTGTGTCGGCATCACTGCCGGGCGCTGCTGGACGTGGCCCAGCTTTCCCAGGGAGCTCGAGGGGCGACGACGTCTGCACATATCCGCCGCCCATGGCTCCTCCTCCTCCTCCTCCTCTGCTCCTCCTCCTCCTCCGCCTCCGCCTTCTCCTCCTCCTCCTCCTCCTCCTCCTCCTCCTCCTCCTCCTGTGCATTCGCAGATGGACGTCAGGGCGTTCGCGAACACAAGCAACCAAACATCTCCGATGCCATGTTTTTTCAATAACTTTTTCGCCGATCTGCGGCCTTCGGAGGCCGTCCTCTCGGGCCCCGGGACCATCAGACATCGATCTGGGGCAAAACACTGCACTTGGGGGGCGAAGGCTGGGACCTCTGGGGCCGCGGAGTGAAACACTCAGATCCGCGGCTGTCGGGGGGGTTGCCCGCCCTCCGAGGAAACAAGGACTCTCGCCCCGATCCGAGGCAGTCCCGGACCCAGGAGGACGGGCGAGCGACAGGACACAGGAGAAGCCAGCGGAGGAGGAATGTGGGAATACGGGTGCCTTCTATCTCGCTCGGCCCATGGGTTCTCGCCCTGGTATCGGGCCGAATCGCCGGGCGTATGGAGCAGAAATCTCCCTCTGAAATGCCCGCGCCCCCCCCACCCAAGCCAGGGATATGAGAGGGGAGTCACACGACACGGGAGCCAGATCCACCCGGGGACCCCAACATCCGCTGCCACAAACGCTAATACATGCGGGCACGATTTATCAGGACTGCGTTGAACACAGCAGTAGTAGCAGCAGTAGTAGTAGCAGCAGCAGGAGTAGTAGTAGTCGTAGTAGTAGTAGTTGTAGTAGTAGCAGCAGCAGCAGCAGTAGTAGTCGTAGTCGTAGTCGTAGTCGTAGTCGAAACAGTAGTAGTAGTAGTAGTAGTAGTAGTAGTAGTAGTAGTAGTAGTAGTAGTAGTAGTAGTAGTAGTAGTAGTAGTAGTAGGAGGAGTAGTAGGTAGTAGTAGTAGTAGTATGTAGTAGTAGTAGTAGTAGTAGTAGTAGTAGTAGTAGTAGTAGTCGTAGGTAGTAGTAGTAGTAGTCGTAGTAGTAGTCGTAGTAGTAGTAGTCGTTAGTAGTAAGTAGCAGTAGTAAGTAGTAGTAGTAGTAGTAGTAGTAGTAGTAGTAGTAGTAGTAGTAGTAGTAGCAGTAGCAGTAGTAGAGTAGTAGTTAGTAGTAGTAGTAGCAGTAGGTGGTTAACAGTACGTAGGTAGTAGTAGTAGTAGTAGTAGTCGTCGCTTGTCAGCGTGTGGTAGTAGTAGTAGTAGTAGTAGTTTTTTTTTAAGTAGTAGTAGTTATAGTGGTAGTAGTTAGTAGTAGTAGTAGTAGTAGGAGTAGTAGTTAGTAGTCGTGGTCGCAGTTATAGTAGTAGTAGTAGTAGTAGAAGAGTAGTTTCGTAGTAGTAGTTAGTGGTAGTAAGTAGTAATAGTAGTAGTAGTAGGATAGTAGTAGTAGTAGTAGTAGTCGTAGTAGTAGTAGTAGTAGTAGTAGTAGTAGTAGTAGTAGTAGTAGTAGTAGTGGTATAGTAGTAGTAGTAGTACTAATAGTAGTCGTAGTAGTAGTAGTAGTAGTAGTAGTAGTAGTAGTAGTAGTAGTAGTAGTAGTAGTAGTAGTAGTAGTAGTAGTAGTAGTAGTAGTAGTAGTGTTTGTCGTAGTAGCAGTAGTAGTAGAGTTCGTAGTAGTAGTAGTAGTAGTAGTAGTAGTAGTAGTAGTAGTCGTAGTCGTAGTCGTAGTCGTAGTAGTCGTAGAGAGGTGTGAAGTAGTAGTAGTAGTAGTAGTAGTAGTCGTTAGTAGTAGTCATCGCAGTAGTCAGTAGTAGTAGCAGTAGTAGTCGTAGTAGTAGTAGTAGTAGTCGTAGTAGTAGTAGTAGTAGTAGTAGTAGTAGTAGTAGTAGTAGTAGTAGTAGTAGTAGTAGTAGTAGTAGTAGTAGTAGTAGTAGTAGTAGTAGTAGTAGTAGTAGTAGTAGTAGTAGTAGTAGTAGTAGTAGACGTAGTAGTAGTAGTAGTAGTAGTAGTCGTAGTAGTAGTAGTAGTAGTAGTAGTAGTAGTAGTAGTAGTAGTAGTAGTAGTAGTAGTAGTAATAGTAGTAGTAGTAGTAGTAGTAGGAAGAGGAGGAGGAGGAGTACTTGAAGGTCTGCGCGCGCATTAGCACGTCACGTGCGCCTCGCTCCCGTATGCATGTTCAAGTAGCGCGTTACGTAACGGAAGAGCTTCCGCGTGCCTCTGCGGCCTCACTGACTCAGGCGGTGTCCAGCGAAGAGATGGAACGAGCGCTAGTGCGACTTCCACCTTGCCGCCTACCGCAGCGTCCCTCAGCTGGTTCTTGCTCGCCCAATGCCTGGCTCGGGCAGACAAGAACGCACGAGGACGTCGGGGATCACTATTTGATGCAAGTGCGCCCTCCCCGATTCCCCGCCCCGCCCTAGCGGGGAAAGTATCCTGCCGTATTTCAATCCTTGGTCTGAGCTGTCCCAGCTACGTACTTATTTGAAAGGTCTGGAACCAGCGGCGTGAAATAGCCTGCCAGCTGCGAACTGCAGCGGCATGATGAGCATCATCGCTCCCCCCCACATGCCTGCGCGAAGCTCAGCGCAGATCGACAGACTCGGCGAAACCCAGAAACTTGCCCCGTGGGCGCCCTCCCTAACCCCCATATTCGCCTCCGACTGGCCAGAACCCGCTCAAATGGGCGCCTGGACTCCTCCCCCCCACAAGTTCGTTCTACCCCGGGCCCCTGCCCTGTCTTGACATGGAGCGCCCCCACCCCCCCCTGGTGAGTAAGACAAGTCCGCTCGTCCCCTTGGGCGGCACGAGGGCGCGTGAGAGATGCCCCGACCTTTTGAAGCCAAAGGGACCCAAAAGGGGCCCTGAAGAGCCCCCTGGGCTCCTTTCTTCACCCCCGTTGTAGGTCCCCCCCCAGAACACTCGGGGGGACGCAAAAGTAGAGTAGGGGCAGGGGTCGGATTACATGAAAACCGCTCTAAACGTCTCCTGGAAGACGAGAATCTAGGCCTCCAGCGGGTCCCGTTCCCCAGCCCCACTCCGAAACACCCGCCCGAGCGAGGCGTGATCACCTTCGCGCTCCCGCCCCAGGCATGCGACGCCCTGACTTTTTCAATGCGCGGCCCAAAAAAGTCCCGACCCTTTCCCAAGGACCGGTT